CTAATGACATTCTGCCATACTCATTGATTAATGCCTTGCTCACTCATTGTTAGAGGGGTTCCCTTTTGTTGTGGATGGAAGCTAAGGCAAAGATTCACAACTAGACATTATCTACATACTGAGTTACTTTGAATCACTCATTCCTAAATGGGATGTCTTTATAAAACTCCTCCACTCAGAGCGTACTGAGCTGTGGATAAGAGGAAACAGAAAAATTGTAAGACCTACAGAGGGTGGATGACTACAAGTAGAATATTACTTCAAGACACAACAGGATTGATACACATAAAAACTTCCAGAAACTGTGGAAGCATCTCCAAAAAAGTTGTAATTGCAAAGTAAGGTTATATATCCTATAAGATCAAGACTCTATTTTTATAGTATCATTTCCACTGTAATTTTAAGAATACAGATGCTGTAGAGCTACAACATTAGACAATATATTTTTGGAACTAAAAAACAAATTCAGAAAGTTGCAGGAATAAAAAACCCTACAAAATTCAGTAGAATTTCTTCAGAACAATAGCAATCCATTTTAAATGTTTGTGAAGAAATTAATTCAATTTACCAAAACTGTATGAAGGAATATACCTAATAACAAAATAATTGAAATTTAAAATAATAGAGAATCTTTACAATGAAAAAGTCAAAACATGTGCATGACAAAGTGAAGTGACTTTAAAATCAAAGTACATATAATATTCAAGGAACCACGAGTCTCAGCGAAGGGTGTCCAGGTTGAATGAATCCACAGAGCACGAGGTTGAGGTGGAACAGCTTCAGCACGTTTATTGTTCTGCTGGGGCTAGCTTTTATACCATGTCACCAAAAGAGGAGTGGGCTGCGAAGGGACTGTCATCTGACCCCAGGAGGGACTGTCACCTGACCCAAGCAGGGACTGTCACCTGACCCCAGTAGGGGTCAAGGACTGACCACATGCACTCAACCTTTACCTGACCCCAGTAGGGACCAAGGAATGATCACGTGCATCACGTGCACTCAAACTTCCTTATCCAACTCCAAGAGCAGAGGGAAGTTATTATGTTTTTTTTGCAGATAAGCATCTCAAATGGGTGGGGGCAGGGAAATGTAACTTGGGGCAGCAATTCCCACAGGTTCGAGTAGGATTCTATTTTCATTACTACAACACTATCAACCACATAGATAACTACAACAATCAGCAAAATCAAGATCATCTTCAAATTCAAGGTACCTTAGTCCTAAAACTAAAAAAAAAAAAAAAAATACACAAAAGCAATTGGGTCCATGTTCTCTGAACCATACATCAATAAAACATAGTAAAATTCATCTTGAGTATAAAGGTTAAAGACAATTCATTAAATGGCCTGAATCCACAAAGTACTACAAAGTTATAATAACAAAGGCATAAATGAAAACAGAAGAGAATCATAGAGCCTAAAGATCAACCCATTCACCTGATATAGACATTGGATTTTATGAATGTACATAAGGATTTATAAACTAGAATGACAGTGGGAACTACACTAAAAATTATTTCCAAAAATCCTTGTCAGAAAAGAGAATGTCTTCATTCATGCAAACGAAAGTAGGGTACCAGGTTTGACTAACAATGAAAGTGAATCAGCATTGTTTTAAGGCTCACACAGAAAGAACAACTGAATCTATGAAATGCCTAGAGTAACACATAAAAAATACTGGGGAACAATAAAAGAAGCATGGAGAACTTTCACCATCAAATATTAAACACAAATATGTGAATGAGGTTAAATCAAGCTAACATGCTCATAATAGTAAAAAGAAAAAAAATTCAGATTGTAATGTAAATCTACAGCAGAGTTTCTCAAACTTCCTAATACTGTGGCCTTCTAACACATTTCATCATGTGTGGTGACCCAACCAGAAGATTATTTCTGTTACCACTTCATAACCATAACTTTGTCTATTGTTATAAATGATCATGTAAATATCTGTGTTTTCTGATGGTTTTGAGCAATTCCTGTGAAAACATCATTTGACCCAAAGAGGTTGTAACCCACATTTTGAGAACTATTGATCTTAAAGGTGGGATGAAGTGTTTGCAAGCTATAAAATTTGGAAATAGACGTGGCTATGGTAAGAAAGAACTCTGAAAGGCAGTGGTTCAAAACAAATCATTTAAATAAATGCACAGTAAATCTAAATGGAAATTTCCCTAAATAAAACAAACTGAGAAAAGATTTGTTTCAAAATATACAATAGCATTCAAAATACAAATCATAATATTTGCACTACCCCATATTTATTTATTTCAATTAATTTATGTGTGTATATGTGTGTGCATGTTCACATACAAACAAGACTTCATATGTATTATGTGTATTCAAGTGACTATTAATACAGATTATTCTAAAAATGAAGTCACAGGCTGTTTTGAGCCACTATTGAGTTTGGGGAATTGAACTCAGAACTTCTATAAAAGAAGTCTTGAACTTTCAACCGCACAGACACCTCTCTTTGTCCCTCACTTCCTAATATTTAGAATGACCATTATTCAAATGCATATCAGTTCTCTCTTATAATAGGAAGGCAGCTAATGAATGTAAAAATGATGAAGTATATTTACAAAATAGATGTACTTTAATAATATCTCCTGCACTTAAAGTTTAAATTTCATCCTTCTATTGACTATGACTTATCTGGATCCTTTGTAGCCATCTACAATTTTCTGTAATTTAGCATTATGCTCAGAATCATCTACATTATTACATATTATAGAATAATTCTTAAGGCTGGATGGTATTCCGGTGACTGTATGCACCACATTTTATAAACCAATTCACTTATTATTGGATATTTAAGTTGTTTTTATTTCATAACCAGTTAAAATTAAGCTAAAATGAATTGGGTGCTATGAGTTGAATATCTTTTTGAGCTTACAGTGCAAATAATTTTAGATAAAACTAGACATATGTTGGTTGGTCTTATAATATTAGTTATTAAAAGTGGAACACAAATGCTTCATGGCAATTAATGGACAGTCTCCAGACATTTCATTAAGCATTCTGACATTGTGGACTAATCAAAGAATTGCCTGTCATATCCATGGGGAGACTCTTTAGAGTTTGAAGAAATATTCAAAAGCTACCACACAACACTCTGCATTAACTTATGCATGGGAGAAACATTGAGGCACTTTCATCATAGGTAAGGGATGCAGGATGGTTTAAGATATCAGTAACTACAGAAAAGAACACAATGTGCTCTGACATTGTGATCTAATGTTGCTGTCCATTTTCATTTCATTTGTGTCTTTTCTTCTACTCCCTGGTAGCTGAACAAGAAGATCCCCTCATCATTTTAAGTTAGAGAGAAACTTGATAAGCAACTTAAAGCATAAACATTTTACCTGCTCTTAGAAAATATTTAATTTCCTATATCTGTGCTATAAAATGTGATACATACAAATCTGAAAAGAGATGATGTAATATTAAATCATATGAATATTTTCAAGGCAGACATTCAATCATTTTAATATACTTTTCAAGAGGTAGGCTTTGTGATTACAGTGTTTTCTATAATCAACTCAAAAGTATTTTAATACTTAAGATATGTAGGTAATTGCATTGATGAGAATGATGCATGATACATTCATGTTAAACAAGTGTTCTACATCATATTGACATAAAAAGCAATTATTTGTAATAGAAGAATTTTAAGTAAACACTTAGTAGCACTGACAAAATATTGTTCATTTTCTACAGTCATCTCTCTAGAAATTTCTAGGACTGTAGCTTTAAAATTTAAATTTGATTAACTAGAAAATAGTTTAAAAGTATATTATACTCATTCCATGAAATCTAAAATTACTAGGGTGAATTATATGTGCATTTATTTAACATAAAGAATTACTGGTTCATGCAAGTGATATATTTTATTTTTTAATATATTATTATTATTACTAACACATCAAACAAAAAACATAACAAAATTTAAATAATTTCTAATTGCAATTTTGGAAGATACTTCTCTAATATTGCAAAAGTATAACCTTGCTGTGTTTATATAACAAAGGCTTTCACCTGGGACAGTGTGGACTTTCTCTATACTGACATACCTTTGTGCAAAAGACAAAGTGGGTAGATATGTATTTGTAGAAAATACCTCTTTCAGATACAGTGACTAACTTCAAAGAAATATTACATCTTCAATTGTATCAACTGCTATAACTATTGTAGACAACTATATTATAAAAAGTGATTTATATGTTTCATAAATAATAGAAATATTTATAAATTACCAACTGGTTCCTACTTTGAATATGCTACAAAAGAAGTCTGTGTTTTTGCCTATAACGCATTGCTCCAGGCAATTTATGCAATTTTTTTACCTTATCATTAGAAAATATAACAGAATGGACATCTGTATTATTGATGTTATTGAGTTAATTATAGTTACTAAATGAAATGGACATATATGAAAAACAACAGTGCAATGAAAATCCATTGATATAATTTAATAATTAAAGTCTTAACAATATTTAATCATAATTTTGTTTTAATTTTATTTGCCTGTATCCTCATGTACCCTTTTCATTTATCCTCTGTGTGTGTGTACACATTTGTATATATGCCTGGGTAAGCTATCTATCATTATCCTCTATTAAGAATATAACTATATAAGCTTGTAAAATTATATGTAGATTATTGGTATAGATATTATTTGGAGATGACTAAGAACCAGTTGCAAAACCTTAGAGGACAGTTGTCATTCATGTTGACATTGGGATTATCTAACAATATCTTGAAGTAGTAAAGTATTTTACATTAAAATCATCATAAATGAGAAATACAAATTATTTTCTTCTGTCTCTTTATCTGCATATTCCTCTGAGCAAATGTATTTATTTTATAGAGTAAGGTAGAAATGTTAGATGTTTCTTACTTGCAATCTTAAACAATAAATATTCTCCAGGTAATAAATACTGAAAGACAATCAATATTGTATTGCTTGTATTAATAGATTTTTTATGATAAAGAAGAATGGAGAAACACAACCTCTCAGTGGTGACTGAATTCATCCTAATGGGCATCACAGACAACCCTGGGCTCAAGGCCCCATTGTTTGGTTTATTCCTTATTATCTATCTGATCTCAGTGATTGGAAACTTGGGAATCATCATCCTCACCAATGTAGATGCCAAACTGCAGACACCAATGTACTTCTTCCTTAAACATTTGGCTTTTACTGATTTTGTTTATTCAACAACTGTGGGACCAAAAATGTTGGTAAACTTCATTGCAGATAAAAATGCAATCTCCTATTATCTTTGTGCTACACAACTAGCTTTCTTCCTTCTGTTTATTGGCAGTGAGCTTTTTATTTTGTCTGCAATGTCATATGACCGGTATGTGGCCATATGCAAGCCCCTGATGTACACTGTCATCATGTCCCATAAAGTATGCTGGGTTCTAGTCACAGTTACCTATCTTTACTGCACATTTATGTCCCTGGTTGTCACCATAAATATTTTCTCTTTGTCCTTCTGTGGCTACAATGTCATTAATCATTTCTTTTGTGACTGTATCCCCTTGATATCTTTGCTTTGCTCAAATACCCATGAAGTTGAACTGATAGTTATGATCTTTGCAGCTTTTGATTTGATTTCTTCCCTTATCATTGTTCTTATGTCCTACCTGCTTATTCTCATAGCCATTCTCAGAATGAACTCTGCTGAGGGCAGACAGAAAGCTTTTTCCACCTGTGGGTCCCACCTGACAGTGGTGACTGTGTTCTACGGGACGTTGATATTTATGTATGTACAACCTGAATCTAGTCACTCCATCGATACTGATAAAATATCATCCATATTTTATACTCTTATCATCCCCTTGTTGAATCCCCTGATCTATAGCCTGAGAAACAAAGATGTTAAAGATGCTCTACAAAGAACGTGGCAAAAATTATTCAGCATATTTTCTTAAAAGTTACATGTAAAATTAATCCTTCATACCAGATTTGAATATGGGCCCATTCTGTCTTACTAGAGAATGTACAAGAAACAAGAGTGTGCTCAACATGTACTTACCTACCTCAATTCTGGTGATAATCAAATTCTCATATATCATACTTGCATTAGCAGAGAATGACTTTCTTTAGGGCATTTTGTATTTGCAATCTAACAGCCAAGCCTATTGCAAAATACAAGCAAACTTGGGGTCTATAGAATTGAAGTTTTATATCTAAAGATACATATGATGCATGAGAAAGAGAAAGAACAATGTGTACAAAAGAGGAGTTTAAATATTCTTATGAAATCCCCTGTTAAAATAAACATTCTGACACTTGAAAGTATTTGCATATGCTTATGTTTTTTTTGAAATTAAGTTTTTTATTCATCTTTGTTTTTGTGTATTTGACAGTTTCATACATTTATATAATTCACTTGAATTATTGTCACTTCCATTCTTGATTCCCTCATCACCCTCCCTCTCTACCTGAAACCCTTCTCTTCAAACATTACCCTTCTACTTTCTTCTTTGTCATGGCTTATTCATTGAGTTTAGTAAGAATTACTGCTCAAGGTTGGGTGACAGATTGTTTAATAAAATTTGGGTAAGCTATTTATAGCTGCACCACCCAAGAAAATGACAGTATATTTTTTTTCTTTGGGAAATAATGGAGTATCAAAGTCTTGCCCAATACACATTGGAAGTCTGGTGAGTCCAGTCTAGTGCATTTTAATACAGACAACCATAGTTCATGCGTTAAACATCAATGTCATGTTCAAAGGACATGATTTCACTCACCCCAACTCTTCAATTTTTTTTCTATTCCCTCCTCTGTGATTTCTTCTAAGCAACACACACACACACACTCACACACACACACACACACACACACACACAGAGAGAGAGAGAGAGAGAGAGAGAGAGAGAGAGAGAGAGAGATAGCTGTCTCATTCAAGCACACTACCACCCCTTATTCTCAGTTTTTTGATCAGTATGTTTTTCCATTAAGTGCATCCATCTAGTAAAAAAATAATTTTTAATGGGCATAAAGAGGATATTTATTTCATTTCTACTTTATCAGCTAACTAAAATCATTATATTCTAAGGCTTAACTGAAAAAAATACTAAAGAATAAAAATTGAGTAACATTTAATATTGAAAGGCTTATTTTAGACATCTGAAATTTAAACTTTTGCTAGCTCATGGGTTCAAGTTAATTTTAATTTTAATGTTTCTATTTTATATAAAATATTACAATAAAGAGTTGACAAAAGTCTTCATTGTTAAAATAATTTGATTAAAAAGAATTCTATGTGTTATAAAAGTATCTTCAATATAATTTAAAAAGAGAAAACAAAAAAGAATTAGAGTCATCTGAAATGTTTGTAAACAGTCTGAGATTTAAGACTGTACCAATTGAAGGGCTGTGCTGCAATTTATCTTTTACACAAAAGTTAAGAAATGTGAAAATATCATTACCAAATGGCATCAGATGAACTCATTTGTAGAATTAATTTACTGCCTTATACAAACACTAGAGGATTCCAAGTTCACTCTAATGAATGTTTACAAAATTGAAAGAATTGTTCTCTAAAAGTCCCTCCAGACACCTAAGAACAGGCTTATTTTTCTTCAAATTTGAATAGAACTATTGCCTTAAATGAAATCAAGTTGTCATGTGTGTACAATTCAAAAGTATCTTCAGTATTGTATGTTTCAGTGTGTATGAGACAGATTAAATTAACTGAACTGCCTTTACATGGAATTTGATATGATTTGATATTCCAATATAGCAATAACAGAAAAAATTTCCCCACATATAATGGAGAACATTTTATAGTATTATTCTATAAAATAAATTGTATGTAGTTAATTACCAATAAATTTAAAATATAGAAAACTGGACATTATTAATTTTGGTGAATATCTTGAGTATTGGCATAGACTGAACAAGAAAAGAACGAAATAAGCTCACAAAGATTTACAGTAATTTTCTGTGTAAATGTTTCCATTTACTTATCACTATATTTACTTAAATGTTGCACAGAGGTTATAACTGTTTGATACCTTCCCTTGTCATATGCCAACATTTTCACTTAGGACAGTGCATGCAAGATTATAAAATTAGAGAAATGCCTTCAACAGATGCAATAGAACCACTTAAGTTTTGTTTCTGTTTTTACCACATTGATTTGAAATGATAAAAATAACATAGAACTAATATCAGTTTTCCTGGAAAAGATGAAGGAATGATGAAGAAAGGGAGATAAAGAAAAGTAGGGAAAGTTGAAGCTTTTTCTTGTCTATAATTTTGGAATTAAAAGGCAAGGAAAAAATTTTTTCAGAGTTACTATCACTACCAAATATTGTAATTTATTGTTATAAAATTTGTTAAGAGTTTATTACATATTACTAAGAAACGAAGAGCATTCTTTTCATTACCATGGAACTGGATAATTCAAGGTGAGGCAGTTTTTATTTCCTTAATCAATGATGTAGAAATTAATCAAGCCATGTGTTTATTCACAAAGTTATAAAGTAGTAGTTAGAAAAGGGCCTGGAACAAAAAAATACTAATAGGAAGCACATGAGAACTGGATGGATGGTTCAGCTGATAGGAGCACTAGATTCTCTTGGGAAGGGTCACCTCATCAACATCACACCTACAACAATCCATAATTCCACCTTGTGGAGATCTGAAGCACTTCATTAGCATAGGGCAAGCATGTGGTCCACATTCATACATGCAGACAAGCGCTGACACATAAAATAAAAATACACATATGTAAGATTTTTTTAAAAAATTAGTAATAGAACCTATAAATTTAAAATTCTATAATTTTCCTCTTATTGTACTCCAGCACATACTTAATTACATCAGATTCATATAATTATATAATATGTGGTTTGCCTGAGCACAGTGTATATACAACAAACTTTGCAAATAATTTGTTTAAAGGTTTTATTAGCATATAAAAAAGCTAATGTACTTTGCATATTTTTGGAAATAAAAGAAATAATAAGTGTACTCTCTCGGGACTGGTCTGGTGAGTTTCTCTAAACCTCTTCATACAAACCTTCTACCCAGCTTTGCAAGTCTTGGTCACACGCTGACTGATCCAGCCTAGTCTTGACTCTCCTACCTATATGTCTTATCCTCTAGCCCAATAAATAATCCTATTCCATATCCAAACTTTCAGCCCAGCTAGTTCTACCCCATCCCTCCACAATTTAACGAGGAAATATATCTAGTATATAAACCCAGACATTTTTTCTGCCTAACTCCATGTAAACCAAGACATTTTGATCCTTTAGACCCAACCCTATCACCATTCACACTTTTGTCCCATATTGTTTTGTTCATATATGCTTGAAACCAACAAAGAATTCTATATTTCCATCATGAAATATACCAACAATATGAAATTTCAAAACTTAATATTTGACAGAAGCAAAAATTAAAAGCTGGATAAAAGAAAGAACTTTCAACAATTGATGCAAGGAATACGGATATTCGCATGCTATAGAGTGAAAACAAACTCAGACATGTCACCTTGAATATAACCTAATCCAAAATAGATTAAAGAAGCTTTAAACCTGAAACAATGAGACATCTACAAGAAAAAAATATCCTTTATCATATAATATGTAGGTATAAAGAAGTACTTTTTCAATAGTACTCCAGTTGTCCTAGAATTAAGGCAAAGAATTGACAAGTGGAGCTTTATAAATCAACCAGAGGAAGAATAAACTCACCGAAGTAGAAAGAATATTTGCCAGCCTTATACCTGACAGAGTATTAAAACTAAAATATATAAAAAACACAAAAGAATAATATACAAATCAATTAAATGACTCATTAAAATATGGGTCTTATATAGCTGGGTGGTGGTGGTACATGCCTTTAATCCCAGTATTTGGGAGGCAGAAGCAGGTGGATCTCTGTGAGCTTGAGAACAGCCTGGTCTAAAAGAACTAGGTCCAGAACAGGCTCCAAAGCTACAGAGAAACTCTGTCTTAAAAAAAAAATGGATCTTGGACCTGAATAAAGCATTTGCCAAAGGAGAAAAATATAGCTAAAAATTATTTCAGAAACAATAACAACAACAACAACAACAAAAACAATGTTCATCATCCCTAGCAATTAGGTAAATGCAAATCAAAACACTTCAACCAAGTCATAATGGCAAAGATCAAAAAACAAAAATCAACAGTAATATTGAAGGAGATGTGAAAAAGAGCTAATTCTCATTAACTTTTTGTAGGAATCCTAACTGGACCTAATGCTTTAGAAATCAGTGTGGAGAACTCTCAAAAAGATAAAAGTAAATCTACCAGCATACAAATTCTTGTGCATACACTCCTTGATGTATGCACAAGAACTTGATATATTCCACAGATATTTGCTAGCCTTGTTCATTACTGCTCTATTCAAAGTATCTAGGAAATAGAAGCAACCAAAATGACCTTAAACTGATGGATGAATAATGATAATGTGGTACATAGTATTCATAATACAAATGTATTATATACTATTCAGTTGTAAAGATAAATTCAATCATGAACACTATCTGTTAATGGATGGATACTAGGAAGGATCACATTGAATGGGATAACCCATATCCAAAGGGGCAAATATCACACATTCTTTCTATTATTGAAGGCATATTGCTCCATTTTTTCAGATTTGAATAGCTACACTGAACAGGTAGCTCGGCAAGAAATAGAGAGTGCGATTGCAAGGTTTAAGTTGGAAATGAAAAAAAAATGGGAAGATTTAGAGTGGATATTAGTACATGCAAGGTGGAGAAGAGGGAGTGAGATAAGAGTAAGGATGACGTTTGGGTTTATGTTATCAACTCTGGTTTGAAAGCAAATGGCACCAAAGGGATTAGTACTATTAGGAGACATGGCTTTGTTAGAATGGTATGGTTTTATTAGAAGTGTGTCACCGTGGAGGCAAGCCTTGAGGTCTCTTCTATGCTCAATACCACCAGCATCTTAGATCACGTACTGTTGCCTGCAAGATATAGAATTCTCCAGTACCATGATTGCCTGCATGCCACTATATTCCCAGGCATGATGATAATGGACTAAACATCTGAAACTACTACTGCTACCACAACTTAATTTTTTTCCTTCATAAAAGTTACCAAGATCATGTTGTTTCATTTGAGTGAGAGAAGCCCTAACTAAGACAGAAACTGATACCATGGACTGGGATATTGCTGGGATTAACTTGATCATGCTTTTGTTTGAAGGATATGGACCTAGGGACTATGGATTGGAAAAGCATTTGATGCTTTAAGTGATGCATAATAGGCCATCCTAGCAGTTATATAGAAGATAGTGATGCTAACTCCAATTTAAACTGTGGTACCTGGCTCAAGAACTTTTAGAGAAGAAGGGTTTTACTATGTTGTCTAGAAAGGTGATATTTCCTTGTAGAGTGTGGTTGCTTTTTGCTATAGTCTGAAAAGTTTGCCTGAGGCTAAAGTGAAGCGTTTTGGATTATTTCCTTTGGCAGAAGAAATCTCAAAGCACTATATTATAGACTCTTTTTTATGGTTACTAGTGTTAACTCTAATGAAGACAAATAATGAAAAGGAGCATGTTGAGCCAGGAAAATTATTTGAGGAGAAGATGAGCTCCAAAAAGAGGAAATCAGATAAACAATTTTAAAAATGGAGTAAATGGAGTGGTAATCTTAAGGAAAGAATGCACCCAGCCAAATTTACAATTTGTGAAAAGAAATTAAGGAAAAACTTGCAGCCAGGTGTGGTAATGTGTGCCTTTCATTCCAGCACACAGAAGACAGATGCTATTGATTACCAGAGCATTGTCTACAGATCCAGTTTAAGGAGACAGCCAAGCCTATAGAGTGAAGGAATCCTTCAAAAACAGGAATTTGGTAAAGACATAATTGAATGAGTGAACCAAGTTCCAGCCACAGTAGTCAGAGAATTTCGCAGCTTGGGCCAATGGCTCTGGAGTTAAGGATAGAAGAAAGGGGCTATGGAGTTTTCTTCTACAACTAAGCAAAGTTACTAAGGCCAGGCTTGTTTTATGGAACTAGTTTTTGAGCTTCCCTTGGTCCAGTATTTCCTTGCAG